CAGATGGAGAAATGACAGAACTGTTAACTAATGCTGACAAATGTTGAACTGGTTTAACAGACTTTATATCTAAGTTTTTTTAGCTAGTACTGAAACAGACTGAAATTAACATCAATTCCTCTTTATGACATACAACGGCCAACGAGACCATAAGTGAGTGGATGGATTTTTTCTAAAGTTATATTTTTGGATGATTTTTGCCGTTATTGGATAACTTGATTGGACAGAGAGACAGGAAACATTGGGAGGAGACAGGGAGGGACAACGTGTGACAAAGGGCAAAGGTCAGATACTAACCCAGCCGCCTCATAACTGCTATCTGGTGCAGCCTTTGAAGACTGATTATTTTTATTTATAGATATTTGATATGCCTGTCAGCAGAGAAACAGCCTTTTTCAATTTTTTTCTTTCAAGCCAAGCCAAATCGTTGGTTGCATACGAGACACTTAAAATAAGGATGAAGACGATTTTGGACAGAAAACACTTCTTTCACATGTGTAGGATAAGATCAGCAGAGATACATTTTGCTCTCTTGTCCACAGGGGGCGCCAAAAATAGACACAACTTGAAAGATCCTTACAGGAGCTTTAAGTGATGTCACACAGTCCATCCGCACTTTGTGAGTCAGTGGAGCTTCAGTGAAGGACGATCCTGAGACATCTGCATTTAAAACTTTAAAACAAATGAACTGATGTAGAGAGCGACAGAATACCCTGATAACTATACCAGTGTTATTTAGAGCAGTGGTTCTGAACCGGTCTAGCCTCAGGACCCACCACCAACTCCTTAAAAATAAATCGCGACCCAAATTTCAAGATTTATTTAATTTAAATAAAGTGGAGTTTTGAACCACAACAATCATAGACTTTTAGACAGCACTATTTTTTCTGGACCCAAAAGTCGTGACCTACTTTTGGGTCCCAACCCACCAGTTGAGTACCACTAATTTAGAGCTCTCTTTGGCGAAATAAAGGGTCAAGTAGATCCTGCATGTAGATCAGTTGCAGCCAGGTTGAATCAATCATTTCATTGTATAGTTTTAGTCGTTGTCACACCGTGTGAAGTTTAAATGCATGACTTTACTGTCCTGCCAGAACACTTCACACATACTGAAGAGTTCTCTCATGAATTAATTAACAATTAGATTCCACCCTGCAGGAGGAATCTAATCGTTATTTAGTGTAGTGACTTCATTTATGCTAAATTACATTTGTGTGACATGACAACCGACTGAAGGCAGAATAATGTTATAATGAAAATATTAACCGTAATCTTCATCGCATCAACATAGAACATGTTTTGTTCTTTTTGTTGTGATTGAAAATACAATAAAATAGTTCTGGTTCAACCACCGACAACTACACAACTGCTTTTATTGACGAACTGAACTACCATTGCCCGTCAAGAGACGTGTTGGAATGACCTTCAACTGTAAACGTCAAACACTGCGTCTGTAAGTGTCGATGTTTCTTTGTCTCAGTCTCTTAGGAAAAAATGTATGAATAACTAGAAATACACTTCACTGCCTCAGGGATGATGTAAAGATTGGAAAATTTCCTCCAAGTCCCACCTGACACTCAGGTTCACTGGTAGAGCTCGACAATGGAAGGAATTTCAGTCACACTTATTTGCTTTCCTAGAACTCAAAGAACCAGCGCCCTTCTGTCTTACAAGTATTGTTTACCTAAAAGGAGAACTTACTTTGGAAAGCCCCATTACGTCATCGAGAACTCAGCTTTTAAGTCCTCCTGCTGAGCCTGTCTCATCAGAGTTGAGACTAACACATGACTTATCACACCTACAGAGGCGTGGAACAGTCAGCACAAAGCCAGAGACTGAAAACAGCACTGAAAACAACACTTGCCTATTGTTAACTACATACAAGGACACCATGGTCGAGCAGCTGACATTCACTAAGGAGAACCAGGAGCGGATCCAGGCGGTTGAGAACTCATTTGGGCCACTGGGGAGACCTCTATCCCAGCCAGGCCGGGTTCTGATCGGAGAAGGCCGGCTGATGAAGCTGTGCCGCCGGGGTCCTCAGCCTAAAGTCTTCTTCCTCTTCAATGATGTGCTGGTGTACGGAAGCATCATTCTGAATAGACGCTTGCACAAAAAACAGCAGATCATCCCTCTAGGTGAGCGTCTCATCTTTTTTCACACTGCGTACGGTTGCTTAGCGGTGGACAGGGCGGGATTCTATGCTTGTATTTCTACATTATCATGCAGCAACAGGCTAAGCTTTGATACTTGTTCTATGAACTACTACAACAGAAATAAGAATGTGGTGTGAGTGACAGAGAGCTATCCAAATAAATGTATTATTATTGTGCAGTCACTAACTGTAATTCATACATATAATATCTGCATATGTCCTCTCAGTTTATCCTACCTGTTTTTCGGTCATGACAACATGATATCTAACATGCTTGTTGACCATACTGTCCATACCTTTCATGCCTTGTATTAACAAACAGTGTTTCATTGTTTCAGAGGATGTCCAGCTGGAGGATTTGGAGGACAGTGTGAGCATGAGGAACCAGTGGTTAATCCGCACACCTCGAAAGTCCTTCTACGTGTCGGCCTCGTCGTACGAGGAGAAGCGAGCCTGGATGGAACACATGGAGGAATGCAAGTCCAGACTCCTGCAGAGCAGCGGGCGAATGCCTGGGTCAGCCTTCGCTGTGACCTGGATCCCTGACCAGGCCTCTGCCATCTGCATGCGCTGCTCCGACAGGTTTTCCCTGACTCAGCGTCGACACCACTGCAGGAAATGTGGCTTTGTGATCTGTGGCGCGTGCTCCAAGAAGCGAGCCGTGATCGCACACATTCATCCGACGAAGTGCGTGAGAGTCTGCAATATGTGTCACTCGAGTCTTTCTGTGACTGAGGCAGAAAATCAAGAGACGTGTCGTGTGAGGGGAGACAGTACGGGGAAGATGGGCTCGGATGGAGATGAGGTGGAGGGGTCCAGTGAAGAAGAGGAGGCAGAGGAGCAGATGGAGGACCTTAACCCCGGCAGGTGGATGCATTCCCAGATTGACTCCTGGTCCCCCTATATGTACATCAAGCCAGAGCATTTTAAGCCCCGAACATGCACATATAAGAGCTGAACATGTGTGTGTAAGAGCTGAATCTGACTTTGGGGTATTCCTAAACATGGACTGACGCTGATACAGCTCTGTGCTGTAGAAGCGAGTTAAATTATATTTTCATCCAGTTACAACCATCTTAAGACATTAATGTAAAGAGTTGTGTGTCCTGTATTTATTTATGTGTATATTCTTTCATAACTACTTTTTTGAAACACTGTGGCGATGAGTTCTTCTCTAAAGTACTTTAGTCTGGCCTTCGTTGGTCTCACTACATTTTATTTAAGTCTGATTTTAATCACATGAAACTGTTGTAATGAAACTGCTGAACTCTACGTCTGCCTCACTTTGTAATTCAAATGAACAATGAATAAAAACAAAAAAGAATTAAAGAATATATTTGTACGTGATGATTGGCGTCTGTCTGTAAAAAAAAACTGCATTACAAATGTCTTTCTTGTTCAGGCGGTGGGCATCATGTCTTTTAACGGCAGAATTAAGACTCGACTTTGTGAGTTGTCTCTGTTTGGTTTCTGAAATTCTGACTCACTCTCTCTCAATCTAGAAACAGAAAAAGAGTTAAGGCTGGCCTCGTGGAAAACACACACCTCATTATGCATGTGTAACACGCTGAAAATGCTTTTTCATATTTTTTTCTGTCATTTTGTTATATCAGTGTGTCTAGTTAAACTAATTTAATTTCCAGAAGTATTTAAGTTAATTTAAGAGTAAACAGTAAATACTGTGTGTTTTATCTACCTTTTAAGATTAAGACACTGGTCCTTTAAGGGAGGCGCAGTGACGAAGACACAGAGGTGTGTGTAGGCTGAAAAACAAAGCTTGTGTAAAGCTGTGGGGCATTTCTTTAATAAAAGTCGCTAAAAGTGGCCTATGGCCTGTGAATTTCTCTTAGCCTTCATGTAATTAAAACAGATGAGTTTTAAAATCCAGCCCCTGCAGTGGAGGTTGCTGCTCGGCTTTAACGCTCCCAGCCACCTTTCAGAGGAAACTCATTTCAGCTGCTTGTGTTTGTGTTCTCTGTCTCTCAGTCACTACCCAAAGCTCATGACCACAGGTGGGTTGAAACTTCAGAGCTTTGCTTTCAGGGTCATCTCTTCACAATGATGGTCCGGTACAACGCCTGCATTACTGCTGATTCTGCACCAATCCATCCGTCCAGCCCATGATCCATTTAACCCTCACACTGAGATACTTCAACTCCTTCACCTGTGGCAGAGACTCACCATACTCTTCATAATATTACAAAGGCACAACTAAATCCAACATGAGCAGGCACTTTCTGACAGGAAAAACTTCAAGTGAGTGATCAGTGATAAGTGCTGATGTGATTCTTCATGGTTTCTGAAGTAAATTAATTATTAACAGGTTCAGTCATGGACAATAACCAAAATAAACAAAGTAATTTATTGGAAAGTATACTGTCCTGAACAGGACATGATAAAGCATGTGCAGTTACAACATAAACCTATGATAACTGACATGTTATCTTGAGTTAATTGGTAATAGAGGGGGCGGTTTATGGAATTGTTCCCTATAGTTTCCTGGAATGTAAACACAATGAAATCAGAGTGATTACCATCCTAAACCAGTCAGAACTACGTGATACTTAACGGAAGTTATGGGTAATTATGGAGTTTTTTCTTTGTAATTCATAGTTTCACTGTAATTACCTCCTGATCGGTGGTATTACACCATAATGCATCACACTGTAAAAGGAAGGTTTACCAAAACTGACGGAAACAGACGGAAACCTGTGGACAGTAATCTGCCTCAGCGGGTTTAGATTCAAAGTAAGACAGAGAGAGGGAAAGAGGTGAGGGTAATGACATAAAGGGTTGCTTTAAGGGAGCTTTTTCCCAAACAGCTTTATTTTTCACTGTGAGATCATCATCTTGGGGCACAAGTTGATGGTCCCTCCCCTGGATCTGAACTGTCTTGTGTCGGCTCCTCTTCTTCTTTTGTGTTTTCATCCGGTTGCCCTTCCTGTCTAGAGCCAGGGTTTGACAACGGAGCCTCATCAGTGTCCTCCATTTCCCATTTGCGTAACATCCAGGGATGGCATAAGATGTTTCTGATTGTAATCCGCTGCTCCACATCCGGGTGCAGAATACCCGGATAAGGTCCTCGGCCTCAGACGAAACAGACGGTACATCTGGGTGGTGGATTTTGTGTTTCATTTGAATTTCCACCAGTCTTATTACATTGCTGGTATCAAAGGCATCAATGCGTAGATAAACACGTACAGCACAACACCCATACTCCACACATCGGACAATTTGGGGTTGTATGGAAGTCCTCTCAAAACCTCAGGTGCTGCGTAGGACCAGGAGCCACAGTAGGTTTCACTCAACACCATGTTCCCGTGTCTGTACATGAGCCGCTTGCTGAACCCAAAGTCGCACACTTTCAGGTTGTAATGCCTGTCCAGCAGCAAGTTTTCACATTTGAGGTCCCTGTGAGCGACGTACTTCTTGTGGAGATATTTGATGGCCTTACACAGCTGTGTGAAAAGCCTGCAGCTTAAAGGTTCAGATAAGGCCCCATGATGGTTGATATACCTCAGGAGGTTTCCTTTCCCACAGAGCTCCATCACCACGTAAACCTTGAGACAAAAAAAGGTAAGGTTAAAAATATGCAACAGAAGAAAAACAATGAACTGGGGGGGTCAATGTCTGGGTGTCCTTAAAATCTGAAGGGAAGGTTGGTTTATTTACATTGCACCTTTCAGACACCAGTGAATTCAAAGTGCTTAAATCTTTGATCTCTGGTGATTCCCACCCCTAAGGAATTCAGGATGAGCTGATGTGAGGGAAGCCGCAGGTTAAAGGTCAGGAAAATTCACCGTGGGCGAGATGGGTTGATGACATTAATATCACCAACCAGGAAAGGACTGATGCCATCAATGAGTAATGAAGCAGTGTGTTTTTTCCCCTCTTTAGTTGATACTGTAGATAAGTCCAGTAACACATCATTGATATAAAGGAGAAAACTATCATTATGGTGTCAGACCATCTTGGAGATCCTGTAAACCTCAGGACGGGAGAAATCTTTTTTCCCCATGAAGTCCTGTCTCCTGAGAACCCCCTCTTCTGTCTGACAGGTAAACTTTTACACTTTGAGTGACAAGTGTGAAAAACAACTGGGAAATTAGAGCAGGCTGTACATGTGTGAAAACAGCTTAACACATAGCACCCTCTGTCATCAGTGTGTGAATGTGTAGGTGTGACTTGCGGTGTAAAAGCACTTTGAGAAGACTAGAAAAACACTATACAAGCTCAAGTCCATTTATTTGCAAAGTTCAAATGAGACATCATGGTTATGTTCAAATAAAAATGTAGTTTCAAACAGTTCACAGACAGCGGTATCCTCAGCTAATGTCCTAAGTGTCCGTTAGAAGTAACTAATGCCATTCATACACATTCATACGCCGCCGACGAAGCAGCGGGAACAATTCGGGGTTGTGCCCAAGGACACATCGGCCATGTAGCTGCAGGAGCTGGGGATTGAACCCCCGACCCCCGACACATTTCTTTTATAATATTGATACATTATATGAGAGAAAAAAGGACAAGCATAATATTTCCCCATGAATAGTAAAGGGAATTATTCGGGTGTATAGCTGAACTTTCTTTGGTTCAGTCACTCAAACACTGGCTTCATATAAGAAAATGAAAAAGTGACATACCTTGGTTGAGTTCAATCCAAAGATGTCATACGTCTTGACAATGTTGGGATGCCTCAAAGTCCTGATGATCTTCATTTCCCGAGGCAGAAACTTTTCCAAGTAGTTGGAGCTGACCTCCTCTTTGTCTATGACCTTAATGGCAACCTTTCTCCTGCGGTCTTTACAGTAGGCACTCACTACTTTGCCGTACGTGCCTTCCCCGAGGTTCCTCTTAAACGTGTAACCGCGGGTCTCCAGGAACGCTTTGTAATTCATCGTGAAAGTTGGAGATGTCCACGGTGTGTTGTGTAAATAAACTCTCTCAGGAACAGTGAGTAATGGTATTTTTTTATTCTGTGGTTTAAACACAGTTTAAAGAGCTGTGACATTGTGACGTCACGTTCTAGAACCAGAACCAGAACATTCAAAAACAACTTTATGTAAACGGTATGAAAAGAACATTTGACTCATTCATCAGTGAATCAACTCACTTTATCTGGAAAACTGTCTCTCTTTTTTTCTTTTCTTTTTTTATTGTGATAAGGTGAACAAGTACAAAACTAAAATGTGCACATAGACATGACAATTAAAGCAACGGCAAAACATTAGCTAAGACAAATAGTGTGAATGTGTGTGTGGCAGTATAACACATTAAAGTGAGTGGCTGAGTGGGAAGTAGCAAGAAGAATAAACAGAAACAAAATTTAAGGTAATTGAGAGGAACAGAAAAGAGAGAAAGAGAATAATAATAATAATATCAATAATGGTGATGCCTATTGGTAATGATAATATATCGATTGACATAAATGAATTAAAGTAAATGAAAATGTTCAATAAAATAGCATGGGTTATGTAATATCTAGTAAGTTAGTACAAAAGGAAAAGAGAGAAAAAAGGGGGGGCAGAGTATGTATATTGTTGGATACAGATGTAAGAAAGAAGGAAAATACTTAAATAAGGAAAATATGATGTGGAGTGTGGATATGTATTTGGCTTCAGTTTGAGGTATGATTTTTCTGAGATTTAAGTGAATTATGAATGGATTCCAGGTGGAAAACTGTCTCTTGACTTGGATCTGTTTGTTAGATCATTGAGGTTTCAAACTTTTCACATTGAGTGCTACCACAAAAAATATCACCATTATGGCCAACATTGAAATACATTAGTGTACCACACACTGCGGCCTGTGTCACTACAAAAGAATCCAAACTGGATGTGACTCGAGTCACATTTTCTGACTGTCCTGTGTCATTTGTTGCTAGTCTGGAACTGCTAACGTCGCCTCTTGCAGTTTCTGTTGCGATGCTCGACGAATCCGCCGCTCTTTTCTTTCTAATATTTCCCGATTGGAGCCACAAACGCAAAACACTGTAACCTTCATATTCGCTTCCTCTGCTATCTCTATCAGCTAAACTCGTCAACCATCTGATTTGTACATCTTTATTTAACAAATTAAAAAATCAGAGAGTTCCAGTGTACAACAAGAGTGATCCCCCATATCACCAGTGGGACTCGAACCACAGTTTGAGAATAAATATGTTAGATAACTGGCTACATATTCAGTTCACAACACCATCCTGACACTCTGACACAGTTTGCATTACCTCGCTTTAAAGACGAGAAAATTATTGCTCAGATATCTTACAAAGATTGTTTTGTTTTTTTAAGTTAACCAAGAGTACTTATGAGCATTAAGCTAGTGAACTAAGTTGTACATCCCGATCCATCTCTAACCCTTCCTGGATCTCTGGCTGACTAAAACAGCTGAATTGCTGCTATAAGCTTAAATCAATCTTAAACTGTGAATGTTTTACTCACCTGTCTTTTAAAAGAAACTAGTTAAAAACCTGTTTTTACTCAGCCTGATTTCTCTTGTTCTCTTTTCTGTCTCTCTCCTCCCTTCTCTTTGGGGGGAGATATGGTTCCCCAGCATCAACAGTAATAACCCAGACCTATAACACATTTATTGCTTCTACATTTGATACTTTAAGTAAAGTGTATTTTACTTATATTCATTCTGTTCATCTGTAAAGTGTAAAATGAAAGTTTAATTTGTTCCTGATGATTCATAAATAGTTTCTTTAGGCTTACTGCTTTTTTTTAAATACATTTACTTTTCAGGACAGGAGCTCAAAGTGTTTGTGAGAAGCTGCAGGTTGTGAAGGTCAGAACTCGCTTTGTATAAACTGTTTCGATTTCACATAAACGGGAAGGAAATGAGAGGGTAAGGACATCTCTGAATTTGAAGGTGTTACAACAATGTGGTGGACTTCTTGTGGTTTCCGTGTACAATAGTTCCTTTTTATTTGAAAGACTAGCTTTCTCCAACAATGCAGCCTGACAAGAAATACTCCAGCAACAGGCTTGATATGAGTCACATTAGGTTGACTGAACATTCAGATTTCTAGTGGCTTTGTGGTGACGAAGCAGTGGGAGCAAATCAGAGTTAAACGACTTGTTTCTGCCAGAGCTGGGGATCGAACCCCCAATCTGGTTGAGAGACGAACTGCTGCCCCTTACATGAATAAAGCAATAAGTGTGTTTACGATGATACGCTGCACTTTATTGTCCCCTTAGGGAAATGTGTCTTGGGCTAACTCCACAGTAGAATAAAAAAATATGCAAGACCAATAATCTCCAGAGATAGACATTGTTTTGGAGAAGTCATTTTCTGATGTTGAAAAAGCAATCTATTACATTTTGTGGATGCTATAAAAGATATTTCTATCTCTATTGTCATAATTAAGAAATCACTCAACATGGTCAACTCAGCTTCGTCTAAATCACACCTTCCTCTTCATGTCACATTGGGGGAAGAGAGTTCTATATCTTGCTGCCATCTGCTGGAAGACTTTATGAAACATATTGTTATCTCAAATCAAAAAAGAGCCACAGCCGTAATCAATAAAGTGACACAAATTGATTAACAGGAAGATTTAACTGAGCCTGAAAAGCAAACTCGAAGAGCTTGCTTAATCCAAACACCTTTAAGACCTCAGTATTGCTCAGTACATCAGGGACTTTCAATTAAAACACATTTTGACTAAAACAGCTTAAGTCTTGAAGAGCAGGATTTATCATAGATCTGCTGTATTGGATTTCATTAGTTGTTCTGTACTTCCACCTGGGTAGAAGCTGGATCATTAACCTGGTTGGCAACCTTTCTGATGATATAATAATAATAATAATAATAATAATAATACATTAGTTTTATATAGCGCTTTTTATATACTCAAAGACGCGTTGACAAAAACAACTAGCAAAAAAACAAACAAAAACGACGAGGACAGCTAACGAAGACGTAATGTAAGGGGGGAGGGGGAGTTAGGCAGTGTTGAAGAGGTGAGTTTTTAGACATTTCTTGACAGAGGTGAGTGTGGGGGAGTCTCAGATGTTTTTTGGGAGAGAGTTCTAGAGGGTGGAAACAGCAATGAAGAAGGCCCTGTCTCCCCAGGAGCGATAGTTTGTCCCGTTGGGGGGCAGGAGGTGTGCATCCACAGACCTGAGAGTGTGGGTGGGAGTGTGCCGGTGGAGGAGATCAGCCAGGTTGTGGAGGGCTTTGTATATGAGGAGTTTGTTGTGTCTTGTTGTGTTCATTTAGTGTTAAACTACAGCCCCAGTAGAGCCTGCTGGGTGATGATTACACTTCATTCTCACTCGGTTGTTTTTCTCCACTAGCAGGAAGCTGTGGCAGGTACATTTATTGAGACAAAGGTCTGAAAGCAATAAACATTGCTTTCTGCATTTTTGGGGGCGATGTCAGACTGTGAGGGGGCTGCACAGGGACCGGCGCTCCCAGCAGTCGGGAGATCAGTGCACTTGTCTGTACTCGTGGACAAAACTGGCATTTCCCCAGTAACCCGTTCCAACTGGTCCATAGGTGACCCCCCTGATTCCAGACCAAAGTCCATGAATATATTATAAATTATTTATATTTATTTATGAAATCCATTCATTGTAACACAGTGAACAGAAAGTGAGGCATCTTGTAATCCTTAAAAAAAAGGTTAATTAAACATGCTTTTAAAATCCATGGTGATGAATCCAAGCACCTTTATTCACATCTTATTAGTCCTTAAAACCTGTCTGTAGGGTTAGATGATTCATTGGTCAGTGACACAGAAGACCTGAGATCGACAAACAAAACCTGCAGTCTGCCAGCACTGCAGGGCCTCAGCCAAGAGAGAAGAGACCTGCCAAACACTCCAACGTCAGAGAAATAAAAGAGGCTTAATGTTCAGGTGCAATGGAAAACTTTCAATGATATTAAATCAAATTTTCTTGCTGTTTTTTCTGGATGATACTGAGTTCATATACTCTCCGATAAACTAACTTCTTACAGACTCAGGGTACTTTGTGAGAGATAGTTTGGGACTGAAAACAAAAAGAGTATCAAGAATTTTATCTGAGAAACACAACTTCCCTTCAACCTTTTGCTCTTAGATCGGACTCGCAGAAAAGAAGCCCAATCACAGGCAGGAATCTCCTATTTTTCATTAAAGTTTCCCCATTCTATGTTTTTAAAGTCATCGGCTTATATGAAACATGGACATATACTCAGTGATGTCACTCATTGGTTCCTGAAGCCAACTTTTAAAGCCCATCACCATGGCGATCACCATGTTAGAAATAATGACTCTACTCTGAATCTAGTATCAAGCAGAGAGGTGGAAATGAGGCAGCCTCCTGTGGAACAGCTACAACGCACACTCCTGTCAGTCACCTCAGCCACACCCCTTTTATGAGTCGCTCTTAGCCTTATCTTCAACCTGCAAGAGTCATACAAAAATTCTGCCTGAAACATCATGTGTGCTGATGGAGGCTGGAGCTATAAATACCAGGCTGTAAACTTTAAATTCTGCAGTAAAACATCTGTATGGGGTGTGTACTGGCGCTTACAGACCGCCATTTGAAGGTGGAATATTAACGATTTTACACGTAGTGTGCAGCATGTAACGCGTTGTTGCAGAAAGTTGGGGGCAGGGGGAGTCGGTTCACGCCTGATACACCATCGGAGTACAGTAACAGAGATGTAATGGGGGGGAAATGGCAATATGTAATGTTGGCGCAGGCTGTCACAGGTGTGGGAAAACAAGGAGGTGGACCCAAGTGCAGAATAAACTAATAAAACTATTTATTTAAACAAAAAGGAAAAAACTAAAACTTTCTCTCAAAATGTCCAAACTGAGAAAATCCAAAACCTGATAAACACTGAAACTCCAACATACAACAAACAACAGTGAAACTCCAACATACAACATACAACAAACAACACTGGCAACTCACAACAACAATCTGACAACATGAGGGAAGGAACACAGAGACTAAATAGACACAGAGGTAATCAAACACAGGTGAGACTAATGACACAGGTGAAGACAATGAGGATAATCAACACGGAGGGAAACGCACAGAGGCAGGATTAAACACAAGAAACACTGAGGACAACTACAAACTAAATCACACTAAAGACACACAGAACTCAAGAATGTAACATTACCACTACATAGAAACACAAGGATGAGAAACTACAAAATAAAAAACAGGAAACACTGAAGACTAAACTATAAAACATTAAGACAAAAACACACAAGGGAAACAAGCAACACTAAGGTGGACAGGAGAAATTAAAACATGGAAACCTAAACGCTGAAATACAAAACAAAATGAGACCAAATCATGACACAGGCCAGGCGGAGCAGCTCTGTGTGTGTGTGTGCACACTGATTGACACACTGGGACAACAATTTGACATGGTTATGTGTTCACTCTATAAGTTCAAAGGTGTATTGAACTTTGTTAGAGCGCTGTTGCTCACTCGAGAAACTGCATTTTTTTTTTTTTGCACTTCCACATTGGCTTAATTTTTCAACACTAGAGGATGCCGCTTCATCTCTGCAGTCTTGTGAACTTGAAATCTCAGGAAACTAGGAAATGGGATTATTTAAGATTTTATTGGTCAACTTCAAAAGTCAGAAAAACAAAGAAAACAATGATGTGCTTACTCAATAATGTATACACTTATACTAATTCAAACTAATGATCAAAGGTCACCTTCTGTGTCGGGTCATTCTTGTCACCTCAATGAGGCAACATTTCCACTTTTGGCACAAAATGTCTTCATGCACTCAAGGATGAAACAAATACACTTTGTAGGTCAATGGTTGCTGTGTGAACTCACATTGATTTTTTTCATGCCAGCCATATTTGAGCAACACCCGGAGTGAATTTATCACATCTGGATTCATTTTATTCTCCTCTTGAGAGAGCAATACCATCGGTGATTGATTAGAGGGTGTTTTCCACTCACTCTTCTCCTCCTGCAGACCTCCTGGTTCAGCTGTCATCGGAAGGATCTCCAAACAGAGAAACAGAAGAAACAGAGAGAGAGAGAGCGAGAGAGAGAGAGAAAGAGAGAGATTCACTTGGATTATGTTGATCCTGTAAATTATTGTGGTTAGAACTCTGTTGATTTTTTAAGGGTAATGTAACCCATAACATATTTTTAGTAAAGGATATATGACAAGTTAAAAGTTGCTTTATAGAACAATATGTTTTAAAATCAATAGAATAAGAGTTGCATAAAAAAGGGTTAATTTATAAGACCAGATGTGAGAGCTTCTGTGAAGTGAAACGCCCCCTGCAGGTACAGATTTGTATCACAAGGCAGTAGCCTTCTCTCCTTCATTGAGGTTAGTCTCACCCTCGTGCGGACTCCAACCTCTGGGTGTCCATTGGCTGCGGCTGTGAGTTGCAATAATCCCTCCGCTGACTGTGGACTACTTTTTAAAACCGGACAATTAATTTAACGGTCCGTGAACGCCACACGACGGACCTCTGATCAAATCTGAGCCGAAATGCCTCATGTAAACCGATTTTGATTTTCCAGCTTTGAAGTCAGGATGGCTCTGTTTTGGCTTTTTATTGTTTTGACGTTTGAAAGCTGTCAATCAGAGGTGTCAGCACGCGGGAACATTTACACTAACCACTGGGCTGTGAGGATCACTGGAGGTCCGGATCAGGCTGAGAAAGTCGCTGCAAAATACGGATATGTCAACTTGGGACAGGTAAAAAAAACAACAACAACAACGATAACAACAACATGCAATTGTGTGATAATTGTTGTTATTGTCAAATCTATATTATAAAATATATATAACCTATGTTTTGTAATACATGACGATATGTTTACTCTGTTCCACTTCATTTACACCAATATGAAACTTTCAAATATGCAAATTAACCAAGTCTAATAAAACATACCATAAGAACTGTCTGTATACAACTTTAATTAGTAATGGCCTTATGCATAATTAGTAATCAATGTCAAATGCCATATATATTAGTTATAAGGCATTAATGACTTTTAGGTTGCAGTTGAAGGAAATGCCTCTTGCTGAAGCTTTTCCTGCAGCAGGACAGTAGATTTACCTTTATATATCATATTAACCAAGAGAAGTTCATTAGATTGACACTTAAGTGGAAAACATGCAGACTATCTAGAGAGCAAAATTGATGGATGTCTTTATTTAAGCCTGATCAAAGATAAATGATTGAATGAGGGAGCAATAGAAACTATGAAAAGTGAACTTAAACAACACCGACAGCACAAACACCGCAGGATGAAGTTTACTCTTATTTATTTTTAACCCTTCTATGAACTAACCATGAACCATTTTTAATGCAAACATTTCGGATGTTTTGGGCTTATAAGAAACTCTGAAAACCATAAGCATTAATGAAGCTTAAACACTTAATGCCAAAAGAAATGAAACACCATTCAGGGACAGCTCAAACTTTCTTTGATTAAAGCTTCTGTGAGGAACTTGGACTTTGTGTTGATTTTGTCGCCCCCTGTGTGACAAAGCAGTTCCTCTCATCGCCTTACTGATCGTGTCCAATAAATGTGTAGTAGTGTTTTCTAGAAATGACCGCCTTCTGCTTTTAATAGTCAATCGTATCAATCACTGGTCAATTTTTGCTCTGAAAAATGGAAACAAGGATCGTTCATCCTCTAAAATCAACCCCAAGGCAGCAGTTTCAGGTATTAAAAACAGAGATACACGATCCACTTTTTTCAGTTTCGATCCAATTCCGATATTTACCGATACTGATTCAGATATTTTCAAGATCATAACCAATAGTGTTATTGTTGTTGTTGGTATTATGCGTGAGGTTAAACACAGCTGTAGTAAACGAAAACCCGACACTGCATTGTGCTGGCTTCACATAAACATTAAGTAGGTTTTCAGATAAAATATTTTAAACTGAAGTGTAAGAATTGTTACTTTTGATCACATAGCTGTTCCATCTCGTCTGAACTTATTGATGTTGTTGATTTGTGAACACTTCTTACAGTCTCAGTTTGAACGTCTTCAAAATGAGACTGCGCGAGCTGAGGATGTTTTAAGTGCCCAACCATCTTTCTCAATCAGTGATGTGGATCGGCGCTGCCAGTGCGATATCCGATACGAACAATATCATAAAAATCAGACCCGATATAGCAATATAAGATCAGATTGGTCCCATCTCTAATGCAAAATAACTAGAAAAATTCCATCTTCATTCTGATGTTTTTTTTTTTTTTGCTCCTGGAGGTCATAAAAAGACCTCAGTGTTGAGCTCAGTCTGTTTCACAAACAGCTTAAAACAGCTAAAGACTCCCCACGGGACCTTTAATGAAATAACTGGTAACGGAAATCTCCAACAAACAAGAAATAACAACAGCTCTACAAAAAAAGATTCAATTTAAAGTCAGTCTTGTGAAGGTTCAAACATGTGTATCCCACATGTTCTGTGTGGCCTCCACATCCTAAAACACACTGAATGACTTAAGTCTGTCTTTATTTCTTTTTAACTAGATTTTCTGTATCGCCTTGTCATTTCTTGTAAGTTTCTTGCACTTTATGATAACTAAATCCCGAAGGAGGAGCGTGAAAAGAGGAATGATTGGAGTCAGAGAAAAGTGGAGAATGAAGAATATATCTGTAAGTGTGCCAGCTGTGCACATGTGCTGAGAAATCTTCTCACAGGAGAGGACATACATATTTATAAAGTGACTTCATATGCTATTTAGAGAAGGCCCAAATGTGATATGAACGTAGAAAGCTTTGCAGGTTTCATTTTTTTTACATTAAAACGTCAGACCACATCAGCGTAACAGGCGTTCAGATAACTGCTGCTCAGAGAGAAGTAATATTGAGCTTTTAGCCCGCTGCTCATAGTCTTTAATAAGATCAGATAAGACATGACCTTATTCTTCACATTCTCTGTCAGAGATAGAAAACATAATACAGTATAAAAGTGTTTAAAACACATCATCGGAGCTAAAAGAATGGCTGAAAAGCACAGAAGAGCCAAAGCCATCAAATCATGTGTTGTAATATTCTTGATGCTTCTGTTGAATGTGTTTGGTCAGATAGGAAGTCTGGACGACCATTACCATTTCCACCACAGCAGAGTGGTCCGCAGAGCTGCCTTCTCTTTAAAGGGCCCTCACAGCTTCATCCATTTGGACCCAAAGGTGAGGCACCGATCAGGTTTTTATCAACTGGTTTATACAGTGCTGTTGGATGGGCCTAACTGGGGCGCTGACTCATGTAGGAGTGGCCTGAAGTTTGTGTGTTCTTAGAAAATAATACTTTTCTGTGTCTGTCTCTGCTAATAACTACTTAAAGTGATACTTCACCTGTTGAAACATGAATCTGTATTGACATTGGGTCATATATGTCGTAGAAATGTGAAATACATTTTGAAGTTGGTGCCTTCTTGAACGAGAAAAGGCAGAAAGTGTCTTTTTGGCTCATGTGGATGAAAGACACCAGCACCGCAGGCCACTCCCACCAAGGTCCTCTACAGACATTAACTACAACACATACGGCTGTTTGCTCAACTGATTCCAAGATTTCTTCCAGAGGGAATTGGAATCTTGGAAATTCCTGGCAGAAAACAGACTCTTCGTCTGTGTCCATAGACAAACAGTGAGAGCACCGACACTACCACGGCGGCAGCGGCAGCCAGCAGCCGAGGCATAACAACCGCCTGTTGGCAGCAGCCACCTCATCGCTATATTGCGGTTGGTAGAGATAGCCACAAACATCCGATTCGAGCACAAGACCTTCAAAATCCCCTTCATCCAAAATCAGTTTGAAGTTGAAACATACCGTTTTCACCATTATCAGTTTCTCCATAGAGCCTGTTAGCATAGCTACCAAGCAATATGGCGGACGTTGAGTTTCGATTCTGGCAGTGAGGTCACACCCACTGATCTGTGATTGGTCTGTAGCTTCAGTGGTCGAAAATATCAAGAACTAGCGTTGAAGTTTCACCCCGCTAACCACAACAGCCGCCGATGACGCAAAATGACGATTTGTGCGTCATTGGAAGCTCCTATTGCAGACAAGAAACACAAAGATATCCCGTCTCAGGGGAAAATGAGGGCGGGATGCACGACCATTCAAAAATACTACCAGGTTTCTAATGATACAAAGCTTAATGCAAATGGGTGAAGTATCCCTTTAACTTAAAAGCATCATACAGATGACATTAGGGGTGGGAATCACCAGAGGCCCCACGATACAATATCATCACGTTGATTGAGTCACGATACGATATTATTGCGATTTCAAAAAATTTGCGATATGCTGAGAATTGCGATACAATATTGCAACTTATTATGTCCAAAAACATTAAACTAAATCAAGAACTGTTTTGTCAAATCAGACAACATTCTCAGTCTATTCATCTCACTTCAGTCTTTTTATTTCTGCACAATGTGAGTCGAGCCCACAGAGCGACCGACACTGTGATGAAAGTAAAGGCTGCATGCACCTCACAGTCTGAACTGTTGGTGTTTCAGTCTAATCGAATTTAAACATGAATTTTTAACAATGCAACTTGTTCAAAATTAATTATGTAACCCATTCTGCAATTACATTTTTTTAAAAGCATCTTTGTTAATATAATAAAAATGTTGATACTTGGCGGCCATGAATCGATTTAATATCGCCACGCGAAATATGGAAACTATGTTGTATCGATTTTTCCCCCACCTGTAGATGGCATATACATGTGTTTCTATTTGTACAAACTAACACAACAGTGTGAAATATATCAACCTTCTTAGCTTAATTTTTGAATGACTGATGAGTGTCCAAAGTCATATAATTGAAATAATTTGGATTCAGAATAGGATTGCTTAATGAGTTCATAAGAGACAAACCCTGATCTTCTTGAATAAACTGATGTCAGTTTGAACAATTCATCGGCACCAACCATGAGATAATGTCTCTACACTTTGAATAGCCTACTCACTGCATTTCCTTCTATCAAAATAAATGCAGGTAGTTATGGTTAAAGGAACGATATGTAAGATATCTACTGAATTACTTAAACTCTTACTATATGATCAGACGTTAAGGAAACACTCTGGGATTAAGTGCTGGCTTCTCTGACAACAATGAAGCAGCCAGTATGTCCTCCTTCTAAATTTAGATTCTGGTCCTGAATGCTCTGGATTTGTTTTCTAAGTTAACAGCAAACCAGCAGGTGTTGCAGCGATGGAAGCGGGCAAGAGAACTGGTTCAGATAGAAGTGATTGTACCCGACCTAAAAAGCCTCTGCATGTTTCTAATAAGCTCCACGAGCAGAAACGTGCTCAAACTAGGATCAATGTTGGAGATGCTTTTGAAAAATGGAGAGAGGTCAGAACACAGACCAATGCAGAGCTGGCTAAACACTGAAGCTTCAGTGTCCTCGAAATGGTAAACCGTGAGCGTCTGCTCTCGAGAGGAGGGGGCGGGGGAAGGACCCCGGTGTTTTTTTTGACTGCAGTACTATTTTAAATGCTACGTGTCAGAATTACATGTTGCTCATTTAACATAGGGCTAGGGTTAGACTCATAACATGCAGAGAAAAATATATCACTCAGATTCTTAGACTGGGAGGAGAAGGTAATTGTCCACCTGCGTTCAACATTTAATATTGTATTGTACCATGTGGTTGAAGTAACTGCGCTGCTAGTCTTGCTAACAGGTTTTTAGGTTTGTTGCAGAGGCTGTTGGTAAGTGCAGTTTGTGTAATGGACTTTTTTGATACTAAGAGTTTGAGTTTTTGTCCCTCTTTTTATTTTGGTTATCGGCATAGTTGAGCGAGAGCGAGGTTGGTGAGTGAAACAGAGTGAAGCTAGGGAGCGCCATAAGTGCTAAGAAAGTCCTAGAAGAACAAAATAAAATGTTATTTTATCATTGTTTAATAGCAGATGCACTCTAGAGAATAAATTAACATGTCTACAGCTTTGCACAAACATACAAGAAGGAGCGTTTTGTTTGTATACCGGGTACCAGGTAAATGTCTCATACATGTTTGTGTCTTGCAGTTCAATAAACTAAAAACAAACAATCAGTCATCAGATTACATGGTATCAAAGACAGAATCTGACATTTATGGTTGCAGTAAAGTGACTCTGTTTATATTTGCGTCTTCACAAATGTGACCTCTTCAGTTTCTTCAAGTAGCTCTTTCTGCATTTCAAACTGTTTTTACCACTTCCATCCTCAGGTGCACTGGGCCGAGCAGCAGTTAGTCAAACCAAGAGTTAAAAGGCAAGTCCGAAGTGACACAAGCTTCATGCATTTCAATGACCCTAAATGGTCCAACATGTGGTACATTGTAAGTACTCTACACTGAATCATTCATCGTGCTTTCCTTCTTTCTTGGAGTAAGATAAAAATGTCTGGTATTCTTCTTCCATGTTTCTTTTCAGCACTGCGATGATAAGAGCATCCGCTGTCGCTCAGAGATGAACATCCTGGCCGCCTGGCAGAGAGGCTACACGGGCAAGAACGTGGTGGTCACCATATTGGACGATGGCATCGAGAGGAACCACCCTGACCTAGCTCAGAATTATGTATGTGCTAATCATCTAACCATTTTCAAAGACTGTTCAAAATCAAAATGTGTCGTCATAAATTTCCTCATGAAGCATCATTGTGTAACATCACTAATCCACCATTTTTTAAAAACGTTTAATGTTTGCAGGACCATTTAGCAAGCTATAACGTCAATGGGAACGACCATGATCCGACACCACGATATGACTCCGGAAATGAAAACGTGTAAGAAAGAATATCAGTTATATCTCAATCCTGTCACATTCAACTTTAATTATCTCTCGGTCCTTTGGGTAAAAAGCAGGGCATCTCAGATTCAGAGAGGGTTGGTTCTTGTGAGTTTCAGAATTTCTTGGAACATAAAAAGTTTTAGTGTGCTTTAAACAAAATACTGTTATAAAAACTAATGGAAACCTTATTTTCCAGCAGTATCAGGAATCAGCCTCAAACAGTGTTTTGGATTTTTTTATGCCCACTTCACTTGACCACTTGGGTTTGATTCACCTTAAGCCTGGTACTAACTAAAATATTTAAAAATCCTAAACAATCTGAAAAATGTGAGATCCCACAGATGATGACAAATAATTACAGATAACAGTTTTGTACTTAAAGTCTGTGGTGTGCAATGAGATGACCGAATCATTACTTACAGATATATTTTATTGACCATCAACCAGAGTCTCAACTCACAACACCTAATCTTGCAAAGTCAACCGCAACTTAAGAGCAAACAAACATTATGGTCAAGCTAATGTGGCTAGCTATTAGCTACCTGGCTCATCCATTGCAGTAGCAATTTTAGTCCAACTCATTTCCTTGTCAGCTCCATTGAGGTATGTCGAAAGTGGGGAATTAGGCCAGAAATGGTACCAGTTATCTTGTAGTGTGTACCGCGCTTAACTGAAATTTCCTCATCAGATTCTTAAATACAAAGCCCTATTGACCAGCTGTCTGGATGTGAGAAGGAATTCTCCATTAAGTTATCTGTTTGAGATTTTTACAAAATATTCCCTTTTTAAGATTCATTTTGAGCTTTTTGGGCCTTTAATGGAAAGTGGATATAGTTGGAAATCGGGGAGAGAGAGAGTGGGGAATGACATGCGGGGAGGGAGCCACAGGCGGGATTCAAACCTGGGCCGCCCACTTGGAAGACTACAGCCTCAATACATGGGGCGTGCGCACTAACCACTGCACCACTGCACCACCAGCGCCCCACTTCCTCTGTTTTATGTGTGTTTAAAGAGGAGTTGAGTTGTATAGTGCGTGGGAAGCTATGTTTAACATCAAAACACAGTTGAATAGAATTACTATTGAATTAAAATTCCAACTAATGCATCTCTGGTTTTAATTATAATAACATCTTAAAAAATTTGGACATCACCATATTCTCTGCATTTATGTTTTCTTAACTTATGGACTTGTGTTAAAAATTCCCTGGCCATGTGAGAGATGATATAAAATGTTTTCTTGTCATTTGTTGTTTTTTGGCTCATTTCCACTGACTGTCAGCAAACAGGGGATGCATTAAGATTAGAGTTTGCACTCTGGTGTAACTTTCTGTGATAGAGGTTTGATAAATAGAGGGCATGTGATGGGATCTGAATACTGATCCCTCTGCAGCTCTTTCTGCAGGTGGTGTGATGTCTCTGTGACCGATGAATGTAAGTGTGTGTTATGATAAGAAATAAAAAACGTTTCCACCAGTCAGGTCATTTTTCACTTATGCCTCTCAGAAAGGTTTACATGCAATCTTCTCTTGAACTTGACATTGAAACAGATCACAGATGTATGGCAGGTTGTAATTTCTGTTCTTTTTCTCTGTTTACATAAAGACATGGAACTCGGTGTGCGGGTGAAGTTGCAGCAGCGGCCAATAACTCCCACTGCATTGTTGGGGTTGCCTACAACGCTCACATTGGAGGTAGAGTTTTACTTCCATACAAAAATAAATGTTTTCTGGTTTTCCCCTTTTGTCCTGAGTTTAAACATCTGTTTGAGCCACTTTCTTAAACTATCTTTTGAGGCTGACTAGCAGTGGATCAAGTGTTAATTCAACTCTCTAGGTAGCAGCTAACAAAATGAATAGCACTTAAATTTGAGTTTTAAGAAGAGATTTAAAAGAGGAGACTGAGTTTTCCTGTCCGAGCACTGCGTGGGTTCCCTCCTGGTACTGTGGCTTCCTCACACAGTCCAAAGAAATGCTCGCATTTCAGCTGGCATCGGGTCCAGCCTCTTGGCAACTGGAAAAGATAATGGATGGATGGACGGACTAACACGGTACTGGATGAGGATCTCGGGCAGCGTTTCTCTTAGCGAGCAGACATATAGGGGTAGAGCCTGTCCATTTAAGACCTTGAAATCAATTCTTAAATTCACAGGTAGCCAGTGAAGGAAAGCAAGGAAAGCAGTATTGTGGTCACTTTTAATTCTGTGTGGAAGTTGAATTTAATAAGGAATACTTTTGTATATAAAGGAATACTGATGAGGACCACTAATGGTGTATTGAGATAGTTGTTACCTTTGACACAGGGATTCGGATGCTGGATGGTGATGTGACTGACATCGTGGAAGCCAAGTCCCTGGGAATCCGACCGGACTACATCGACATCTACAGTGCCAGCTGGGGGCCAAAAGATGATGGAAAGACAGTTGATGGCCCTGGGCTGCTAACTAAGAGAGCTTTTGAGCAAGGCATCAAAAAGGTTTGATTTGACACAATCATGATTGTAACACCTCCAGAAGCTGTGCTATATCTTTAAATGATATCAACAAATCACTTTATGGTTATATCCGTCAGGGTCGCAAAGGCCTTGGATCCATTTTCGTCTGGGCATCAGGTAACGGCGGTAGGCAAGGAGACCACTGTTCATGTGACGGCTACACCAGCAGCATCTACACAATCTCCATCTCCAGCACCACAGAGAATGGAAATAAGCCGTGGTACCTGGAGGTCTGCAGCTCCATCATGGCCACAACTTACAGCAGTGGGGAGTTTAATGAGAGGAAGATTGTGAGTACTGGGTAAATGTTTTTCTTTTTCAGTTGCATCTCAGACAGTTTGACATACAGTACAACATATGTTACACTCAAAGCACTTTGAGAGTATTTTAACTGGCCTCTTTTGGCTCATTGTTTGGGTTCATGGCTCACAAATAAGTTAACATGCCTAGGGCTAAACAGTTACACAGCTAAAAAGCGTATGAGGTGGTGATCATAGTGGAGCAGTTAGCATCTGTAGTGCTGGATATTTGGCTCAGGAGTTGGTGGAGACCAAAACGGGGTTGAAAGTTTTTGCTTGATGGGGTAGCTTGGGTGTTTTGAGATGGGGGGTTGTATGGGGTACTTATCAATAGTTAGAGGATGTTTACAGTATATACGCGCAATCCAAAACACTGAGACAGCTTTATGTCTGCACCAATCATTTATCTGAACCAGAATTATGCAAAACTGACAAACTAACAATCCAGCTAGACTCTTTCTATAGAGCACTATGGTAACCAACCGTCAGCTAAAGCTTAAAAATAATACCCTTTGCATTGTCTCTGCTAACATCTGCTGACCCCAATCAGCGGGTGCGCTGCATTAGTTAATACAGAGAAGTTGTGTAGTATAAACATAATCCCAAGGGAAAGGGCTGTTTATGTCTGTGGAAAGTAAACTATGAGTTCCTCAAACTACCCCCTTAATAGCCTTTTAACCATTAAAAAAAAATCTTAGTGTTATGTGCATAGACTATAATATGGTGACACCATCACGTTCCCCAATGGTTTACATTCTACCGTTACAAAGCTCTTTGATTGGCATTTGGCCATCACCTGTTGACGGTTTGGAGACGAGAATTGGGACGAGAAGTAAATAATGTCTCTACTCAGTGGAAGCAAATTTTCAGTCACACTCTTGAAGGGGCCGTAAGAACATCTTACTGCATTAAAGAAGACTTCCATTGCAGGCAAGGGGGAGTTGATAATGTTTCATCCATTACCCCTCTTGTTCCCCTTGTTGCCCTCTTGATGTTGGGGTTGATTCAGCCCCACTCTGGTCAGGTTTTGCACTCCAACGTCTAACCGGTAGATCTCAACCAATATGAGGGTTTAAACACATCATCTATATATTCTTTAGCTAAAAGTTGCTCCATGTATGTAACGTTTGGTTTGACCCTAAGGGCTGCATATCTCTGCTCTTCCACCCAATAGAGTGTGCCCTCAGGCTTACTCATTTCATATAAACGTGCCCTATTGAACTCACTTTACATAAGACTTGGTTGTTTTTAAGCTTGGCAGTGACCTCGTTATTACGTACAACTTAGAGTAAATGATGTGTTGACATGAGGTGAGGCATTTACTGCAAAGGTCAAAATGTGCAAAAGTTGTTGTGACTCAATGTGTGTGTGTTTGTGTAGGAGGAGACCAATGATCCGCGGGGGTTGTGTTTGTTTGGACTGTGGTTGTGTTTTTCAGGTCATGTGGAGAGTATATAGTGAGTAAAAGAGAGACGACAAAGGAGACAGAATGATTAATGTCAGCAGACAGCCACATGAAAAGGTGCTCCTCCTCTGCCATGCAGCGTTTTACAATGATCTGTGAGAATCTGTATTTGGGTCCTTTCTGGCGCTCGGCTGCGTCTCTCTTAAGCGTCATCCAACACTATCCTCTGTGTAAATATTTAGGATCTGGTTTGTGAAAAAGACCCACAAGGACAAACCAGAGCAGCTGCAGTAAGGTGGAGGAACGCCAAACAGTCAGGTCAGGTGGTGGAGAGGACACCAAGCAGAGACTTGTCATTTATTTGAACAAGATGCATTTATAAACTCCTGTATGAACAGTCTGTTATCCCTCGAATAAAAGGGTCTGAAGGGTCTGTTTTTTAAATTTCTTATCATCTTAGACCAATGATGAACTTTATTAAGTCAAAGGAAGTGTCAACACAATGACGTGATAAGGTTTACTGTAGCCATGTGCAATTATTCAGAAAAATCCTCAACCTCAGTTGATCCACTGATGGGAAAACTCACAGCACTTAAAGGACTAATGATACTGTATAACTTCACTCAGTCCCGCACTCAGGGGAAGGCTTTAGTGTTTAAAGTTCTGACCCTGATTTGCTGCATTATGCAAAAATCAAGCTCTCTCCATTTCAGTTTGTGGGGCCAGATAATAATATTATGACATTTTTGTGGAAAAGAAGGAAACACCCGGTACAGTTCAATTTCCACGCTTACTCTCTCAGAGAAGTAAGCATGACTTCCCATGTTCACAGACCAAAACAGTTGCAACCCACTAAGGGTTATTATAGTGTGTGTGTGTGTGTGTGTGTTCCTGAAAAGGCCTCATCAGTGTCAAACATGAACTGTGTTATTTACAGAGATGATACTGTGTTTGTGCTCTCTTCCAGGTAACCACTGACCTCCGACATCGCTGCACTGACGCTCACACTGGCACCTCTGTCTCTGCTCCCATTGTGGCCGGACTCATAGCTCTCGCCCTGGAGGCCAAGTTAGTCATGTTTTTTTTATGTGTTTTCTTCTCTAAAAGCAACACAATATAAAATTGTACCTTCAATAACAGCTTCAAAATCACTGACATGGAGGAGGAGGAAGACTGGTGCTTATATCATATAGACCTTTTTTCTTCTATTGTACACAGTGATGATTATCAGAACCAGATAGAAACAGGGACTCAAATGCAGACTCACACATGGCTGAGTTTCAGAAAAAGCAGAGTTTAATAACAGTCCAGGTCGATACACGGTTAGGCAATCCACGAAGCAAACAATCCAACATGACCAGGCAAAAGGAAAAAATAATCACTAGAAAGACTCACAAGGGAAACCAGCTGGAGAACTGGCAACATGAGGGAGGAAACACAGGGATTACATACACAGATAATCAGGGGATAACGAGACACAGGTGAGCACAATCTGGGCAGGGAGGCTCAAGGCAGGATAACATGAAGAGCAGGATCTGAAAGACAGAGACGAGGTTAAGTACAGAATAAAACAGGAACAGACAATAATACTTAAATCAATGGGTAGAAAAAAACATGACCTAGTTAACGTTAAGGATCGTGTCAATGATGTGTTTTGTGGGCGGAGACAAACTGGTGGCAGAAAATTAGCCAGCAGTAGCTTGTGTTCAATTCATGTCAGAAAAAATGGACGATCTGGATGGTTTCTCAAAATATTTTAATAGTTTGGCAGCGGTTGAAAAGTTGTCTTCCAGTGAGGAGCTAACCCTTGATCCAAACAAATGCCCAAAGCTACAGTGGCTGGACATCTTCATATAACTCGAATGCTTGGCTGCTCGTTGTCCGTGTGAAACTCTGTTAATGTGTTGCTGCCTGTCTTGGCCAGCACACTCTTGAAAAAGAGATTTTCATTTCAATGAGTTTCTTTTCCGGTTAAATAAATACAATAAAAAAACTTGTGGAGGAACCCAGAATCTGTTAAGAGACTCTCAAGGCATACAAATCTCACTCTTTGTAAATAAAGATATTTATGAGGACATTTCTCATATCTACAATTGTAATTCCAGACATTCACAACAACATTTCTCCTAAGACAAATTACTCACTTCATGTGTGTTGGTCCTTTAATTTTCAATCAGATGCCTCCCTGCCTCTCTGCTCGCTCTCTACCCCTTGCGTGCACTAGCCCACACTCAAAGCATGAGCTGAGGTCCACTTCTGGATCAATGGCGCTTGTGCATGTAAGTGGGGGTGGGGGGGCTTTTGAGGTTAGCACCGAGGGGAGCGGGTGGGTGCAGACGAAGCACTGAGGGAATGCTACTTTTAAAATCATGCTAGTTTTCGAAAATGAACAACCCTGCCTTTAAGTCAACCAATGAAACATTTTCAAACACTGTTATTTTCTTCAAACTTGAAACAAACACATGCTGTTACATTTCCATTCAAATCAAATGCCTTATAGAGCATATAAAGATTGTGTGTGGTGCTGTTTGGCTTCATGAGATGAGCAGTGTCTTTGCTTTCTGCAGCCTTTTGCTGACATGGAGGGATGTGCAGCATCTTCTGGTGAAGACCTCCAGACCAGTCCACCTGAAAGCTGATGACTGGAAAACCAATGCTGCCGGACACAGAGGCAAACTGCATTCTTCTTCTAATGCTAACATAGTACACTGACTGCTTCATATTTGAGATACTTTTTAATACATGTATATATTGTATTTTCGTGTAGTTAGACGGGATCCCTGCAGACCATTTTAAACTCCGCTGACAGACTTGCTCTTGATGCTCACTGAGTGTCCTTTCTCACAGTTAGCCACCTGTATGGGTTTGGACTGGTGGATGCAGAGGCCATGGTGCTGGAGGCGAAGAAGTGGAGGACTGTTCCTCCTCAGCACACCTGCAGTCACGTGCCACAGCGACGCACCAGGTAAACTGAACTTACATTCATAAGTTTACTCCTATCACACAGTAGGTGGTCGTGGTCAGTGATGTGTCTTCATAGTATCATGGATAGCCTTTGTTTTCAGAACTACTCATTTGGAAGATTGTGAACATACCTAAGAGAAACTTTATTTTATTAAAATTGTATATACTTTGTTAATCCCCAAAAGGCTTCTGGTTTACACTCTGTTAGTTCAGAGACGTGCTACTCACACGTGCACAACCAGGACCTACAGTATGGACATGCAATAATGGAGAGTTGTGGGGGGCTGCACAGAAGGGGCACCTCTATATTGTTGGGAGTTTTTACCATAATGTGTAAATATTAATGGAAGAAGCTTGAGTGACGTCACCCATTTGTTACTGCGGGGGGGCTACGGCGGCTCATCAGCGTTAGCCGGCATTAATGTCTTGAATGGGGGTTGGGGTAATCACTTCATTGGGGTCATCAGGTGGGCACCCTCCTTCCTGGATATTTAGTTAATAGGCTCACAACATCTCCAGAGGGCTCAATGGAAACCCCTGGCATCTCCCAGGTGCACCTCTCACTGCTTTTACCCGTCCTGTAGGCTTACAGTCATCTTGCAGCCCAGTTGGGATCCTTTCTTTTCAGCCAGGGCCAATTGCAAACAAAGTAATGTCTGCCCCGTGGCTGGAAGAGTTTACAATATTTGCATATAAATTTGGCAGAAAAAAAACATAGGACACATCCTACCTTGTAGGACATTTCACTCGGTCAAAATTGCGATCTCGGACCATTAGTCTTGTCTGATTAACAAAACACAGACCTCTGACAACCTTTGGTAAGGTTTTTAAATCGAAGCATAGAGCTGAAAATGATTCCTTATTGCTTTATGTTTATATTATATTATTTTCATTAAATCCTGGTACTTACCAACTTTGTGAGTATGGTTGACTAGAAGTAGTTTTTTTCTGTGTATTGATGACTAAAGACAATAAAGTAAACTGACAGACTGTACTCATCCATATTCACTTTCTCATAACACTCCAAATAAATGGAGAATACAGAAAAGGGCATCTTTTCATTGGTATCCTTTAATGTAAAGCTATTCTGTAGTTGTATGAAGCTTTTATGCTTATGACTTTGTCAGGCACATCCACGCTGGCCAAAGCCGGAACAGCAGCCTTTCCACCACTGGATGTTCAGAAGAACCTGAGCGACACGTGGGTTACCTGGAGCACGTGGTGGTCCGAGTCCTGATTGCCCACCCAAGACGAGGAGACCTGGAGATCAACCTCATCTCTCCATCTGGGACCAGATCACAGCTACTGGCTAAGAGGTGAGAGCAAATACACCCTGCAGGTCCCATTCTTTGAAGCACTAATTAACATTGTATTAAGTTCTACAAAATGCCTCTGTTTTAACTCTCCATGCTGTGGTCGTGTGTGTGTTTTTCTCATCATTTATTAAACTACTTCCTGTGGAGAACGCTTCCTGTAGATTTTCCCACTGCGACTTTGTGGTGGTAAGACCTGCTGGAGTTTCATATCACCACTATGCAATAGGGATCTCTCTGCTGAACTGATTGGGTGTGTAATTACAACTGTGATTTGTTATGTTCAAAACATCAAATATAAACATGTTAGTCTCTAAATATAAACTCTTTACTGCAAGATGTTTGATTCAGTTTTTGGCAAGTTTCTTCAAATGGTTCTTTGAAGATTTTAATCATTCCTTTAAAAGAAATCCAGCTCCAACACAGGAATGAAAGCTGAATAATAATCTTAATAGTAAGCAATTTAAAAATGTCTTTAGTTGCATTACATTTAAAAAAAAATCTCCACAACAAACTCAAAATCTTTGTTTAAACATGGGCTTACAAAAGTCTGTATAATTAACATTTTGCCCAAATGGAATCTGCCGGTGCTGTGAGAATCAAACAAAACCAAGCCACCATGCATCTAAATGAATACCCCCTTGAAGAGACGTGGGAAGTAGGGGTGCTGAGGGGGCTGCGCAGATAATGACACAGGAGGCGGGGAGGCCTTGTTGGACTCTTTAAGTAAATGGAGCTGTCCCAACCTTCAGCGATGTGATCTGGCACTACTATCACCCAACATCCCTGACGCCCAGCCGCCACCATCGGTCTGTGTTGCCTCACAACCGCCGTCCTTATTACTGCACGGCCTTCTCCGACCTCCACCTCAGCGGCAAGGAAGTGTGGACGACCGGAGTGCGAGGAATACAAAGGAGAAATCCTTCCTGCGTCTTATCCCATCTCTTCCTGTCCCATTTTTCTTAACATGGAGTATGGTCTTTGAGCTGCTCTTTTGTAAAGCGCATCGAGATAACACTTCTTTTCTATCGTTGTGCACACATCGAGGTGTTTCGAAGGTTTTCAACACAATCAAAGAAAACAAAGACGTGTAATCATGCAGGCGTACAGAGCAGCATAACTCGATCTTTACCTAGAAATGTGAGTTATTTGGAGTGGAACTGAAGTGGATCCACTGCATAAATCAAATTTTCCTGATGCACCGCCCAGATCCTCTGCTCACTTGTTCTCTGTAATTGAGGAGTCTCTTAATAAAAACTGCACTCCATACAGTTTTCGTAAACAGTTTCACACCTTTAGCTTGCAGCACAGACTGGGCTGGCAGCGCTGCATGCTAATTACTTTATTGGAGCGGGATGCCCGGGTTGAAATCTGACCTGTGGCTCCTTTCCTGCATGTCATTCCCACTCTCTCCGTCCCCCGATTTTCCGACTCTATCCACTTACCTCTCTCTGCAAAAAGTAAAATGAAGATGTCTTCTCTTGCTGAATGTTTACAGGTTGTTTGACAGTTCCAACGAGGGCTTCAGGAACTGGGAGTTCATGACGGTTCATTTCTGGGGTGAGAGGGCGGAGGGAACATGGACTCTGGAGATTATCGACACACCGTCAAAGCTGCGCAACACTGAGGTGCTGGGTAAGATCCAAGAACACATGCACACCAAGGTACTGTTTTACATTTAAAGTGGGTAGACCGAGGTTCAGTTTGAAGAGCAGGGGGGGCGAATGACAGGAAGATCATCAATTTGACCTCTGGCTTCATGTCAAAGTTTCTGCAGGCAGGATGTTAATCCCCCAAAGCTCTCAAAGGTTACATGTGCAAACATGTGAGCAAGCGTGTAAATGAGTAGCTGGATATCTCACTGTATGAACGTGTGGGTGATTAGACATTGAAAGGCAGTCCACTACACAAGAGGCTGATATACTATTATTACTATTGTTGTTGTTACTCCACACAGGCAACTTCAAACAATGGACACTGATCCTTTATGGCACATCTCAGAACCCGTACCATCTCAGCAGTGCTCAGCACTCCCGTTCAAGGATGTTAGAGATCCCTGCCGAGGAGGAGATCCTGGAACATCCGGAGCAGGAGGAAGAGGAAGAGTACAATGGTGAGAGAGTTTAAAAAGTGTTTTTTTTTTCACACCTACATTTTCACACCCAAACTGGAATTAAAAGAACATAAACATGTTATTTTGGCACCATAAACAATTTGAAAATACAGTATATCCTGATTGAATTGGGTTAGATTAAGAAAAGCTGGAGGTCTGTGAAATAATGCAGGCTGTTACAGTTACAGTGTAAAAATGTAAAAGAATTGGCTCTTACTTTTTGGCACTCTGAGAGAATAATAAATGAAAAGACATTTCTAAGCTTGTTGCACGACTGATGATGATGACGATGATTTGCTGTTCATAAAGGTCCATGCCACAGTGAGTGTGGAGACCAGGGCTGTGACGGACCAGATGCTGTTCACTGTCTGAACTGTGTTCATTTCAGCTCAGGGAGTTTGAAGAGCGGCAGGTACGAGATGATTTTACTTTCAAGTAACAACAGATCAAATGTGTATATTGAAATGAGGAAGTAGTGCAATGGAAACCACAGATTAATCAAGATTACAAGCAACAGAACTAATAGTTGTAATTAATGGTGGTCGACAAACAGTTTGAGTTGTTATGATTTTAAATCCTTCATGTTTTTAGGTCACAAAAATATGTATTGTGTTTTTTTTAAAGATTTATTTATTTTTGGGCTTTTTGGGCCTTTATTGGAGTGATAGGACAGTGGATAGAGTTGGCACTCAGGGAGAGAGAGAGAGAGAGAGAGTGGGGAATGACAAGTGGGAATGGAGCCACAGGTTGGATTTGAACCTGGGCACGTTTGGAGGACTACAACCTCCATACATGGGGCGCGCACCCATATGTATTGTGTTTAACTGGCAGTGGTCTGCAGTTTAATGCTGTTGAGCTCAACATATTGAGATTCTGAGCTCCTTGAAGTTCTAAGTGGACCACTCGTCCCTCTTTATTCTGCTGTCAGTGAAGTCTCATCAGACTGTCCCACATGTGTGTAGATCCTGTGTGAGCCACTGTCCTCTGGGACTCTACGGGGACGTGTCATCTCATCGCTGTAGACGCTGCTATAAAGGCTGTGAGAGATGTGTCAGCTCGTCACAGGGCGCCTGTCTCTCCTGTCGAAGAGGACTTTACCTCGACACCATCAACTCCAGCTGCGTAGAGGGCTGCACCCCAGGATACTATCCTGATGAGAGTAAGTGAACACATCCACAATAAAGATGTCAGGAAAACACAACCACTTTGTTCTTTGTAAAGGATATTGATCCTGTCATAACTGAACCAAAGGGGTTGATCCATGTAGTTCAAATATATACTTCTATTGTTGGGTATTAGAACGTGCACACGATTAGATTGTTCACAAAATACCCACAATGAATTTAAGTGAATGAAACTGAATGAGTACCATTACTGGACCCAATAAATCCTTTAAGCCTGAAGACTGTATATATATAGTAACTGGAAAAAACAAAACTGAGCAGCGGGCCTTGAAAAATTAAACTGAGTTTGTAAGAGCTGGTGACAAAAAGTCACAACAGCCCGCAGAATGATTTAAAGTGTGCTGGAAGATACTGCCTACTGAAAATACATCCTATATTTCAGCATGTTCATATTTCACCATAGATCATGAGATGACATACAGCTAGCTCAAAGCAGAAGGAGTATTTAAGACCAGATCTCTGAATACCGATAGCTGCACTCTGCTGCATAACTGGACTTCTGAAATGTCCTTTAAAGTCGTCCTACATATGGCACACATCTAACCACTCAAAGCACTTTTTACAACGCAGGTCACACCTACACATTGACTCCCCATTCACACACTGATTGCAGAGGCTAAAAGTGTCCATTATTATTAACTAATCTATTCATATAAAATTAACACACCACTGACGGAGCAGCGGGAGCAACTTAGAGTTGACGTTTGGCTGCTGGAGGGATTGAACTCCTGACGTTCTGGACCTAATTTTTTTAAATGCACAGAATGAGGTAGTTTTATACTATTGTTTTTTCTATTGTTCTGTCACACACCTATCCAGGGACTACAGCCATGGTGGCTAAACTGGCACAATATAGAAATGTTATGAATATTATCCCTGTAACTTTAACTATAAAAATACAAATGATCTTTTCAATCATTTTGCTTTTACATACTGCGAAAAATATGACTGAGTTTTTCCTTTGGTTAAATAAAGAATACTTAGCATATATATTGATGAATGTGCATGCTGTCTTACAGATCAGAGACAGTGTTTGAAGTGTAATGACCCCTGTGTGAGATGTCTGAGGTATGCAGACAGATGCACTGCCTGCAGAGAAGGCTACAGGTCTGTAGAGATGCTTCATCTTTGGTTCAAACTCAAATTGAAAAAACGAACTGTTAATGGAGTTGTTATTTTGTATAGTCTAGCAGGGATGACGTGTGTTCCTGAATGCACCAATGGGACCTTTTTCCATCTGGAGGAGATGTCGTGCAGCCCATGCCACTCCTCCTGTAGGACTTGCACAGGTCAGTGTGTTTGTTTTCATGGCTTTGTTCAAGCTGACAAAGTTTCAGTTTCAGGTTCTGTGCAAATTTTGACTCATAGGTTTTCATCCTTCCATGAAATGAAATCAATTTGTGTTTTTTTCCTCAGGGCCGGGTAAGGAGGAGTGTATCCAGTGTGCAGAGGGATTCCTGCAGCAGCAGTGGAGGTGTGTGCAGACCTGTTCACCTGGCTTCTACTCTGGAGAGGCAGCAGGACTCCCTCACAAGATGTGTCACAGGTGGGGGGGATTTTCTCTTCACTAAACATCTTAGCCTTCAATTTTTTTATTAAATGTTTTTATCAAGTGTAGAGTTTAACAACACTTCATTGTGCAGACGTCAGATTGAAATGAAGAGGGGGTATTAAAGCAACAATATGAGACTTTCCACCTTTTAAAAGTAGTTTCAAAGTAGAAAGGCGTCTCCAATTCTCACAGAGCGCCCCGGTTTGCTTTGCAGCGATTCTTGTAGCAGAAGTGTGAACCACTTTAGGGCACTAGTTCACACACCAGCCTTCAGTTAAAAAGAAGCCAGTCAGCCTGTTTCTGTTCTGTTTGATACAACGGCTGAGGCTAAGAGACAGAAGAAGACGGTGATAAATGAACCTTAGAAGGAAAAAAGCGAAAGTGACCGAGTTAGAGAAAATATTGGACAGACTTTTAAATGTTGGCGAAAGCTTCTCAAAGCAGTAAGGCAGCAAGTCAGACGCTGAGCTGGCTATGTCACTTCACTGTGTGTGTTTTACAACAATGGAGCTTCACTCAGAGACCTTCGATTCTGAAAAATATAAGAAACAGAAAGCACAAAATGTGCAATGAAGGAGCTGTGCAGTTGACAATGAAACAAATATTAGAGTGTATTTAAATCTACTCACAAATCGCACCAAACCAAATTCCTCCATTATGATGCTGTCAGTCATTTTCTGCAGAATATCCCTCACCACGTAGTATCCTTTTACTGTGATATACTTTTGTTTCTATCCTACGTGTATTAAAAACAATGATGTCATTCTATAAGGTTTTACTGGTTTGTTTCTTTTGTCTCCAGGTGTGAAGAAAACTGTGTGACATGCAGTGGGCCTGGAACAACCTGCACCAAATGCAAAGAGGGCTTCAGTCTGCTTAGCAAGACTTGTATTGTGAATGCATCCTGTAATAATGGTGAGCATGAATGTTTAACCCACATGAGCTGCATTCAAAACGTTTTCCTCTTTTTTTTTTAAATACTTTTTGGTATAACTTTCATATTTATAAAAAGAAACAAACAACACAAATGAACAAAGACAACAAAAAGGAACACCTGGTGGAAACATGGCTTCATACAGATCCTGATTTATTACGTCAAAGAGAGTCACAAGAAGGTAGCGTTCTCATCCTCTGCTACAAATTCAATTCATTTCCCCCTCTTTTTTAACAAAGGAATAATTATGTCCATCCATCCATCCATCAGGTTCACACTAATCCCTTGTAATGGCCCTCAAGCAGTGAACAGTAGCTTATATCCACATGTTAAAGTTAAGCCCACTGCCCTGTAGCTGTATTTTTGGCTCGCTAATATGATATTAAAATGAATAGTAACATCGGTGTTAGTGCTACGAAGTAGTCAGCTAATAAATGAATCAATATGCTTGTGTCAACATTAAAATGATCTATAATGGGACTGGTTCTGAGGCTATAGTCCTCCAAGCGGGCAGCCCAGGACCGCAGTCATCTTTTTTTCATGAAAATATCTGTCAAGTCTGCGGTCATAGTTTAAAAAAAATATTTGTCTCGGTCTCAGACTTGGTGGACTCTGGATTTTAAATCAAGACCAGAGGCTATTTTTCCACGTCATTACTCTGATTAGACGGAACATGCCCCTTTTCTAAAACAACAAATAACTTGAATTAACTGGTGTTACGGCCCAGGCTTCCCGGTGTTATGGTCTTGGTAAGTGACACGCCCGCTGCACACAAGATGATGATTTTTCAGTAACATTTATGGTCCTGATCTTGGTCTCAGTCTCTCCCTGCCTTGGTCTTGGTCTTGGTCTTGACTCGGTCTGGATCCCTAAATGTCTAGGTCTTGTCTTGGTCTTTGGTATGTTTTGGTCTCGGTTAGTGTGGTCTTAAATGTGAAGGCCTCTCTGATCAGATGTCTTCATAAGGATTAGGTATCCTGGTTCAGTTTGAAACTTGGTGAAGAGTTGATGTTTGGTTTCGGAGCATGTTTAGATTTAACCTCTGGTGCTGTAGTGTGTTGGTTCACTAGATTCCAACGTGACATGTGTAAGCTCTCTACTGTTGAACTGAATATCTCTCTGTTTGTCAGCTGACGAGGTGTTCTGTGAGATGGTGAGGTCCAACCGTCTCTGTGAGAAGAAGCTCTACCGTCAGTTCTGCTGCCGAACCTGTCTGATGAATGGATGAGATTCTGTTTCATTTATACTTTAGAGATGTTTTTTTAAAGCAGTATGTGAAATGTACCCAAATATTCTGTGATTAACACGAAGTATACTGAACATGTACAAAACTTCTTCATAAAGAATGTGTGTTTTTTTTACAAAAAAGTCTGACCTGTCTGTTATTTCCATTTACAATCATTTTCTTTACAGGAGAATATTTTAAATCACATTCTTATGTAAATAATAAACCACTAATCTTTTAAAGTCAGATCTCTGCCTGTTTAGCAGTGACTGCTCTGACCACAGCTCTATGACAACATAATGTGACACTGGTTCGGTTATCTTTTTGAGTTAATTGTTGGTTTTAAGAAGAAGAAGAAAAAAGATATACTCTGTTAATCCCATGAGGGGAAATTCAATTTAACACTCTGTTGTTGAACATGCTAATCCTGTCCACACACGCTCAGTTCTCAAAAACATATTTGTTCACATGGAAACTCAAAACGCACTGTTACGACTGTCATGAGCGTGCAAAGACAAAAACGATCTCCTTGACATGCTAAAATGTTCTCGCCATTCCTCTGCAATGACCATTTCATTTTACAAAGCTGTCCATTCAGGGCGCCTCTGCTCGTCAACATAGTGGGAGCACTAGTTTGGTTACGTCTCATGTAAACACAATGATGAGGAGAAACCAGCGAACAGTGTGACAAGTCCAAACCAACATTTTCCCCTTCTACACATGAACTCCTTAAAGAGAGTGAGAGTCTGAAAATCTTCACCCTGGAAAGACTTTTCCAAAAGGTTCATTTTCAGAGACCTAAAACCCCATTTGCGTAAGCACCAAATACCAAAACGCACCTCAGACCAGACCAAACCTCTGTTTTTAAAAATACCCGCCTATAGTGTGGACAAAGGCTGACTGCAAAAGTACCTGAAGTCCCATGTGTGTTAAAATGCAAAATCAGTACAACAAATTGTACGGTCTGAAAAGTTCGTGTTTTTATCGGCACATGCTGTACTGGGGATTTTTTTTTTTAACTTATCTGTTTTGATTTAAAGGTCCCATATTCTGCTTTTTTCTGGTTTTATATGCCCTTCAGTGTGTTTTCCAAGTGTCCTGTGCATGTTTAGGCACATCTATGTGCAAAAATTCAAAGTCTGCGGAAACGCGGCTTCTCCTACGTCCTCCTGTTAGCTGTAGCATTAGCTGCATGTAACGCTCGGTTCTAGCCCCCCTCGATAAAAATTTGCCACTGTGACATCTTGTCAGTGTGAGGTCACTGATCTAAGCCCATTGGCTCGTTGTGGCAAGCCCAGCAGCTCATGTTGCACGCCCATTAACTTCTGTAGCATGCGCGCGATATGCTGTAGCCTGCGGTAGCACAGTGGTGCTAAGGTGCTAATGTTTTTGCTCCCTGGCCCTCGGAGCCAAAGTGGCTGCATTCCCAATATGATAAAAGGGGCGTGACATTTCCAAGAACCGTGCAGAGCGACTGACCAATTACGGCAGAGCTGACAGGCCGACCAATCAGATCAGACTTGGCACATGTGGACACTTCAGAGCCTTAGAGAGAGAGTCAGAAGCGAGCCGGTGCATGGAGCAGCAGTTCATGAAAACAGACACTTTTTAGAACTTTAGCTATTGTGAACATACTTCAGTAGGTGCATAGATTAAATATACAAACCCCAAAAAGGGCAGAATATGGGCTCTTTAACAAAAGATTAGAGTGATTCAAAATAAGAGGTGTGACTGATATGACCGGTGCTTTGTAGCTGTTCACTTGGAGGCCAAAGGTTCAATTCAAACTCCAACTCTTTGGCTGTTTGATCCAAAGTGATGTTGAGATTGCGTTTCTTCTACATCATCACCTCATAAACACCTCTTCAAAAACCGATGTGTGACGTCTCTGAAACTACGTCCATGTTTGTCTATGTGTCCTTGTCACTGTCACTCCTGTCAGCTGACACACTGCAAAAACTTCAAGTGTATGTCTAATATATTGGTTTTGGAGTGCACTCACAAAAAACAGGTTTCACCCAGGTGTTTCTGAGCATAAATCAGTGTTTCTATGGGAATCCAAAAACAATTGTTGACACTGACGGTAGGTGTAGTGTGAATGCAAAAGCCCTGGCTGGCAGTCAGTACATATTCCAGCCTTCAAAGAGCCATATGGTCTGAAGCTTCTTTGATACCGTTTATGGTCTGAAGCATTTTAACAGGAAACAGCTGTAAACTGAGGACTGAGTCGAGGTTTTGTGTCTTTAAACCAGAAGGAATTTGTTATTTTTCCATCTTCATGATGTGCAACAGAAAACTGGCTCATCTTCAACCAGAGCTGTTTGTGTTTGTGTTTTGTATGTCCGTTTCGTTCCTGGATAATGATGGTGATACTCTCATTATTTGTTCTGTGTAATGTCAGAACCTCCTCTGATGTAGTAAAACAGCTCGACTGAAGACAGGACACGATAGGACACTCCATTTCATATCGGAACACGACTGAAGCAATCGACCTGATTAGAAATGTTCTTCAGCCTGTAATCTTAAACTGGCTTGATAAAATGTTTGATTAAATAATTCTCAGGTGTCTACATGTTCCAAAATATGTCTATGATAAATAAAACTGATTATGCCTCCACATTCGTTTACAAAAGCTGTTCCACATTTAAACGTTGCCCTTCCTGTTTCTGGTTTAAGCAAGAGCCTGAAACATTCCTAAATATGGACTCAACAGAATAACCAGCGCTGCACATCTGACAAAGTAATGGTCGTGACTCATGATCAAAATATTACCATGTTTTTGTAAATAATTCGACTTGCCGTTTGTTATTTGCATCCCATAGCTGTGGATTATAACCTCTGTTCTGTCATTGAAGCAGCAACACATGTTTCAGTGTTCATCAACTCGTGCATGAAATTTAAAAAAACAATTATTGGAAAACTGAACGAACGGGCAATTTTAATAATTAACACTAAATTGAAATGTAAATAAAATGTGATCATATAGTCGTATATGAGGCAGCTGATGGGGCTCAGTAGCAGAGTCTCTCAACAGGAAGTCACTCACTCTGACATCTCTCCATTAGTGCATGTCCATTGGATAATGTTTGTGCATGTGTTCAGCATGTTCAACAACAAAGTGTAAAATTTAATTTCCGAACGTGCGATTAATAAAGAATATCTTCTTCTTGTGATCCTGACACTAAACCTGGTGTAGTTTTACAAATCAAAATGTTAAATGTCCTTGACCTTCAGAGTAGCTCACTCTCTAATGAAAAAAAAGTTCATGTAGTTAACATTGAGACATATCCTAGGAAAACAATATGTTGCCATGCCTAAACTGCATGGCTCAGCTTTAAATGTCTTTCAGATTGTTAGTAAATGCTGGTACTCATATCAGTAACATATTCAAGATTCAAGATTTGTATTTGTCACATGCTCATACAGATGTGCAGTGAAATGTAAAGACTGTTCCGCCAGGCCATGCAATAACTCTCAAATTACTAATACACATAAATACATAAAATAGAATATAATGTCAAATTTAAAAAAGAATTATTTGAATATACAAAATATAGAATATAGAATAATGTAAACATTGTAAAGTGTCAGTGTGTAAAGTGTCCAGGGTGTCAAAGTGCATATATACACATATAATCATTCACATTATATGTTATTAACATGTCGACGGTGATGATAAAGATCTATGGAAAGACACTTAATTTAATTGAAAAGGGGGGCTCGGAACTCATTAAGTCTGTATACCGGAACCTACCCGGACGATAAAGAGGGGCGCACATGTGTAGCAACATCATGTCCACTGAAAACAAGTGAAAGTATTTAATGATATTGCCGAATAATGTCGATTAATAAATAATGTCCGAAGCTGCTGTCGAGGAACTTTCTGTGTTATCTTCCATTTACTGCGGAGAGGGAGAGTGTCAGCTCGTCCAGCAGTCTGGTGAGTTTATGTCTAAAACATTCAAACATTCAAACATTCATATCACTTTAACAAACATACATTATCATGTTACCATGTTATCATGTTATCATGCAATCATGCAGCATGAAGAGTATCAGATGTACACAATATCAAAGCGCTATTAAACTATTTTTGCTTATTTTCATTTAATTTTCTCCAAAAGTTTTCAGTAAAATCAGAATGCGTGTGTTACCTATTAGGAACTTTTCAAAATAAAATACAAAATATGACGTAATGATAAAAGCGTCACCATGAAATTAGTGCAGAATGTCCCTTTAATTTTATTAAAAAGTCTATAATTAAATCAGCTTTAAATTTACAGGGTAACAGAAAGGGTCCCGGGACATGATGGGGAATGAGAAGTTTCTTACTTTTTACAATGTTTTAAAAATAAACACATTATCAAAGTGTTCCTCTCCAATTTCTGCAGATTTTCTCTTTTATTTTCTGAATTATTTAAACTAAAATTAACAAATATTTTGATTTCTATTAAATCCACTTTCAACAGGTCAAAGGTTATTACTTGATGCACTAACTGTTGAGCGCCCTCATTATAAACTTCACACAACCATGACTTTTTAAATTATTATTATTATTAAAGTGATATCATATGTTGATCATTACAATGCTTTTTTAAATCAGTGCACACGTCATTATTTATTGTATGTTTTATAATGACATCTTCCAGCTGCTGTTTTGGGGCGGCTGGCTTGATGATGGTTTCAAACGATGGCTCACTTAAGTGTAAACGGCCCCAAAGTTCAGTTAAATATAAAAATGAAGTTTTCTAGAACTTCATAAGACTATCGCCTTATAAAACCGCCTTCCCAAAGAAACGTGGGACGCTGTTAAATGTAAATAAATAGAGAAAGCGATTTGCAGATCATCAAAACCCCATATTTAAAGGAAAATATAAAAAAGAAAATGTGACGTTTGTTGAAACTGGGAAATTCACAGCTTTTGGAAAACGAAATGCCCATTTTGAATTAGATGCCGACAGCTTGTTTAACAAAAAAATAATAATACAGGGTTTTAGGTCCTAATATTAAGAATAATAAAATAGTCACATTTTCTAAATAAAGCCTTTCCTTGTTAGTAACAACTATAATATCCAATGAAAGTAATACGATTTGGTGGTCCGCTCTCGTAGAAAGTCGTGATGTGCGCTGACGTCT